GCTGTTCTGGTGGGAATGGGTTTGAAAGATACTTCTCAGTTGATTTACAATGCCTCGACGGTTAACTGGAACAGGAGGCCCTGGGGTGGAAGCTGATGCTGAGTTCCTCATTCAGTTAGTCTACAGCATGGCTAGAATACCAGGAAAATGGACAGATTCGAGGGATTAAAATAAAGATATGTTGAGTTTAAGATTCCTGGGGCACAGTCAGGATAAGAATCTCAGCAAGGAAAGAGAGAGTTTCAACAATAAAATGAGAGTTAGCAATACTAAATGTTCCACATATGCCAAGAAAGATAAAGACTAAAAAGTTGCCATAATAGAATGATTTATCCCATCAATGACAGACTGGATAAAGAAAATGTGGCACATATACACAGTGGAATACTATGTAGCCATAAAAAAGGATGAGTTCATGTCCTTTGCAGGGACATGGAAGAAACTGGAAACCATCATTCTCAGCAAACTAACACAAGAACAGAAAACCAAACAGTGTATGTTCTCACTCATAAGGGGGAGTTGAACAATGAGAACACATGGACACAGGGAGGGGAACATCACACAGTGGAGCCTATCGGGGGGTGAGAGTCTAGAGGAGAATAGCATTAGGAGAAATACCTAATGTAGATGGCAGCGTGATGGATGCAGCCAACCACCATAGCATGTGTATTCCTACGTAACAAACCTGAGGCTTCTGCACATGTACCCCAGAACTTAACGTATTTTTTTTTAAAAAGCAGCCATTGAGTTTGTGGATTAGGATTTCAACCATGATCTTTGGGAGGACAGATTCTGTAGAAGAGGATGGAAGCCAGTTACAATAGGCTGGCAACAAAAAGAATGGTGAACATCAAACAGAAAATAATATTTTTTTTTGACAGAAATTTCAGGGTAAGGAGCAAGGAGAGTGAGAAGGTGTAGCTTGAGAAGGAAAGAGAGTCGAGGAAAAATTTTTAGGAAGGGACATCTAGAATGTATTTTTATGTGGAAGGAAAGCAAGAATGCATAGAGAATGGACAAGAGATATGACAAAGCAAGGCAGAGAGGTGGAAGAACTGCCTTAGCGCTGAGAGGTTTATGAAGGAAAGAGAATCTCCCTGAGGGGTTGGTCTATTCCCCTCACCACTTGCCTCTTTAACTCAGGGTCTTACTTCCCCTTCTTCTTTCTTTCAGAGACCATCACTTTATCCATAATGGTACAACTGAGAGGAGTTATTAATACCTAACCCCTCTTTATTAACATCTTGGGGAAACCACACCATAAAAAGCACATTTAAACACAATGTCCCTATCCTCAAAACCCACAGGCTCACCCTTATGGGGTTCTGTTGAAAGCAATTTACTCTCCTCCTTGCTCCTGGGGGCCCTATTCTTTTCCTACTCACTGCCTTGGAGCACCCATGAAGACTCAAGACACCATACCTGAGAGAAGGTGGTCTAAGGCTGTCTTCCAAATCCCTGACTCCTTCCTGTCCTTGGATGATTGAAGCTGGGATTAGCCATTCCTTCAGGGAAGACCCCATTCCAGCTTCTGCCATCCAGAGGGTAATAAAACCCCTTGGTCCCAAAAGATCAATCACATTGGAGCAGAAGAGTCCAATAATTATAGAAAACATACATAGATGGTTTCTGATTCAGGGTTAGCCTTAGACTGCAGGGGTGGGTGAAGTAAGGGTAAGTGATGTGGAAGAAAAGTTAAAGCAGTTTATTTATTGGTGCATTTTGTGAAGTAGAATCCTTGTACAACTGCTGAGATTGAGGGCCAGTGGGTTAGTAGGGATTTGGATAGTAACAGTTTGGAGAATAAAGATTTATGCCAATTAGCAAAGGGTAAAACATTGCCCAATATACCAGAGGCTCTGCTGAAGATGGAAATCATACACTTATAATACAGCCTGGCTATATGATTTTTTTTTCCACAAGTAGAGTGGCAGTCGGGGGGCATGCATAGAGAAAGCCATGGTTACATTTATGCAAAGCTGTAGATTGGCAAGGTGGGCACAGCAGAAGGACAAGAATGTGAGGGGTCTAGGATGCTAGTGAGAATGTGGTTGAATTGAAGGTCTTGGTCATGAGGCCAAGGCTAGGTAGGGGAAAAAGGTATAAAAAGGGGTGCTTATAGTCTAAGGGATTGGGAAGGGGTGGAGAAAGTACAGGCCTTGCTAAGACTGGCAGGTGGGTTTAGGGGAAGGAAGATAATGGGACCAGTGAAAGGGCAGAATTTCTGGGTAGACAATGAGTTTCTGAGCTTCAGATTTCAGAGATGAAATATTCCTGGGGTTGGAATGTGGGAGTGGGTAGATGAAGGGAAGTAGGTTGGGAGCAACACATCACATATTGGGATGTGTAAAATGATGTGGTCATCAGATATCTGACTTCTTGAAACTCATGAAAATAAATCTGGCCATGAAAAACATATTGACAAGACCCAAAGAAATGCAGAATTTGGAAGGCATTTGCTAAGGTTTACTTATCATGCCATTTGGAGGTGGGATAGGAAAAAAACAGACCTCTCTGTAGACTTCATTAAGAACAATACGTGAAGACCTCAGTTTGTAGATGTCTTTCCCTTAAGAGCATGAACTAACTAAGTAGCAAGTTTTATGTTCCAGATTTCCAGCTTCTCTAGAAAAATAAGATGGTCTTGGCAGCACTGAGCCAAGATTCCCTCATGGTAGCAATGATTCCTCACCAGATTACCTGAGTCGACCACCCCGTGTTGCCACATTACACCCGGCCGGGTGTCAGCTGCTATTTATCAGTATGTTCACACATCTTTTTTAGAGTTAAAAGGAAAGTCAGATGTTTCTTATGACAAGACCCTATCAAAATTAGAAAACCAGAAATGAATTAGGAAGAGTATTACTCTGTATTTGATATGCAAAGTATATCATTGTTGAAAATCATACATTGTGATGCTATTATGAAGCAAATCCTCCAACTTCATGCATTACATTACCTACCTGGCCCCCATACACATTTGAGTTTGCAATGACTCCTATAATAAAATAATGGTAGATGTACAATCAAATACATGAGAGAGAATTTATAAAACCAGTATAATAAGTTATTTTTGAGGGGCTCATATTAGTCTAGCATATTGTATCCTTTTGCTGATAGAATGATCTTATCAAATTCCCAATAATTAATAGATTCCCTCAAAATGCTACCAGTAGCCACTGAAAAAACTTAATGAACTCAAAGAGTAGTTCCTCAGTGGCTGGAAAGCATAGATATAATTCCCTGAGTGCCTAACTTCTTGGCAGCCATATACGCTTGTGGAAGATGGATCTAAGGAAAATGGGTGTAGGATCCTTAGTGTCAGAGGAAAAAAAATATGGAAATGAAACTTTTTGGCAGGTCTAACTTGCCACATTAGTGCTCAGGAAAAAGGGCAATCAATCGCTACATATTTCTTATTGTTGAGGATCATGATAAAATAAATATAATCTAAGCTGTAGGAGCATAATAGGTTAAAATCAACCCCCTGGATTGACCCAGGAAGCAAATGAGTAGCCAGTGTGGACCAGTACATTGATATAATCTGCAATTTCCTTAAAGCATTTTGGTCATCTACTTTCTGCTCTAGTTAGCATTTATGTTAAGCATATGAACAGCAGTTGAATATGAAGCCTCAGAGGTTGAATTGCATCTTTGGAGAAACAGAGGAAATAAAATGAGATTGAGGTTTGGGAAATGAAAATTGTCATAATATACTAAGGAAGAAAATAATCTGAAGGTCAGATACTCAGTGATTCAGAAAAAAAATAGGAGAGTCCTAATATTGGAGCCTGTGAACTGGAAACTACATATGAATTCATAACCCACGAGGCCATAAATGATGGCAAGAAGTCAGTAAATTGAGACAGTGTTATTTTGAGAGATGAAAGGACGGTTCTTATGGAACAGGGAGTCTAAATAGTTCAAATTCTGGGCATTAAATTGGTGATGCAAATAGAAGACAGTTTGGTGAAGAGTGACAATGATTAAAATCTGAGATGGACTGAAATATGAAGAAAATTTAAAAGCGATGAAGCCATGTATTGCTGGCATGATAGAATGAGATTTTAAAGGTATCTACTGACTTTAGACATTATGAACAGATTACTCACCAGAATCCAACCATTAGCATGTAGATAAAATAAATTGGCATAAGCATCATGGAGCTATTTAGAATGGGCATTTTATTAATATCTTGCCTATCTTATTGTTCCTGAAATGTAGTCTGAGGGAACAATTAGACTGTATTTGCTGAGGAATGACTATGATATTTTGGCTCTTTTTCTACCTCCAACTTCTATGGATTTCACAATGCCATGAAAACACTTCGGCAAGAATCCTGGGAAAATATTTACGATTTCTTCAATAATATTGCTCATGGAGTATGAGGAATGGAAAGCAACCACTTAGTAAGTGCAGAGAGACAAGCAGGAATGAGGAAAAACAAATACTTACTGCGCTATTTGTGATCAAAAACAAATCTGAGTTTAGCTTACTGAAAAGCCTGTTGGGAGCCAAGCATTGCACATGTCAGAGGAACATGCTGCTTCCCTTCACCATGTCTGAGATATGGTACCTACAGTTGGGCTGTTGTGGGGTGAAGAAGTGCTGCTACAACATCAGTGAGCGTGTGACCAGCGGCTTGTGGAAGACAAGCACTTATGGGGATAAAAAAGAACCTGGCACAGGCCTTGGGCCTCTGGCATCATTAGTTACAGTTCTGCCAAGATGCTTTGGGAAACATTTTAATTTAATGCCAAGTCTATTTCAACGAAGCTCCCTGGTTTGACCTGTTGGGAGAGTCTAGAGTGTGATGGATAGGTGCTCATTTTGAAGGGCATTGGTGAATCAGCTGGTGCTTCTATAAAAAGCATCCTGGGGGTTAAACCTCAGAATGTCCCTACTAAGCCCAGGAAACTCACAGTGAGAGTGACAGGATCTATGGCTGTCATAGCATTTTACTAGTGACTGGTAATTGCAGGGAAGATTAGACACTAACAGAAAAGGCAGAGACACCTCTGTGTGTTTATTCAAAATATCAAAATTAGAGAACTTGAAGAATAAAGATCCCAGCATCATTTTTTCCTCCCCCAAAACATACTCACAGGCTATTATGACTATAAATTTAATAAAGCAGATTAAGAACCTGATTTGAGTTATTTCAATTTTTTTTTCTGCAAAACTATCACAAGATAGAAAAAACATTTTGGAACACAACTAGAAAAAAGAAAGAAAAGAGATGAGACTTAATACAACACTAAAGCATTGTCCTTCGATGTAAAACTATTTGTTAGTGTGTAGGCCTAGGCTGGAAGGTGATGTACAAAAGCTTGTCTGATGGGTTACAAAAACACGAATCCAGAAGATCTGAAGAATTAAAACGCCCCCAAGAATAACATGAAAGTATTTGATGTTGCTTCAGGGGCAAGGGCGAGTATGTATATGTACGTAAAGCCCATTTCCTCAGAGGCTCCTTGGCAGTCTCTTACAACACTGTGCTAATGAAAGCAAGGTCTTTAAGTTAACCCCCTTGCGGACTATCAGTTTCTCCTTCGCGCCCTGCGGGGACTGCATTCCTGGAAAAGAAAACACACGAGTTAGGGAAGGGCTGGGGTGCCAGAGAGGGCAGGAGGCTGGAGCCCACGGAGCCTGGGATGGAGAGGTGGGTGGGCCCAGGCGTGGGCGTGGGCGTGGGTTGGCGCGGGGGTGGTGGTGGAAGGGTTGGAGTCTCACGCCTCGGAGGTTTGGGTCTTGTCTGGCTCCAGGGAGGGAGATCCAGGGGAGATATTTGCGAGCGGAAGCCACACGATCAGCGTGGACTTTTAGGTCAGTCACTCTGCCTTAAGTGGCTGCGGGAGGCCCAGAGAAGGAGCTGGCTGCAGCGCTGCAAGTGGAATCCTGTCCCAAAAGATGAGCCTGACTTAGGCTGGGCCCCCGCAGGCGGCAGGGGCAGCCGGCATCCCTGGCAGGGGAATCGGGAAGGTCACAGTGATAAATCTCTGTGTGGAGACTCAGAGGGCACGAAATAGGTCCTGCTGATGTCCTCTGCCTCTCACAGCCTGCCAGCCGCCCCACCCCTCACCCCTGCCTCAGCATCCTTGTAACTAGTTGAATCAATCAGGGGCCCAAGGGAATGGAATTGTTCTCTGTGTGAAATGGGTCTGACCCGCTGGGGAAGTCAGGAGAGGAGCGTCCGCCTGGCCTTTTCCCGAGCTGGGTGGGAGGGAAACGAGTTCCGCGCGCGGGGCGGGAGCCGAGGTGAGGCCCAGCGGCCGAGATCCTGAGCCCCGGGACCCTTGTTCTGGGCCCCGCGGCCTGCTCGGTAGTTGCCCCTCGGGGTTCCAGGCGGATAACTGACAGTTGCAGCAGCTTGGGGGAGGCGAGGGATAGGCAGGACTTGGGGCTCCCATCCGCTGGACTATGAGGTCTCTGCGGGCCGGCGACCCGGCCTCGGTGACAACCGCCGCGACGGCGGCAACCTCGAGCAGGAGCCGGACGACTCGCAGTGGGTCAGGGGGCGACCGAGGAGGGACCATGCGGCCTGTAGGGGGCAGCGCCGAGCTCTGGAGGAGACAACCGCCGGCGGGCGGGGTGGGTCTGGGCTGCCCCCTCCGGGAGCTGCCCCGGGGCGGCACGGCGACTGTCATACCCGGCCACCCCTGCCCGCCGTGCGCTTCCTCTCGGCGCCGCGGGCCTCAGCCCGGGCCCTGAGGGTACGTGACAGGGCTCGGCACGCGGCGGCCTCCGGGGAGTTAGGGTCCGGAGAGACCCGCGCGTCGCTCCCCGCCCGGGGCCAGGAGACCCTCGGGAGCCGCCTCCGAGAGTCCGGAGAGCGTCCGGGCGGCCGCCACTTCCCCCAGCCCTGCGCCGGAGGTGGGCGCCCTTTCCTGCGTGGCGGGTGCTCAGACCCCCGGGGTGGTTGCTCTGAGCCCCGGGGGAGCGCGCCCCGAGTCCCTGACGTGGGCGCCCCGTTACCTCGGGGTGGGTGCCTGGAGCCCCTGAGGTGGGCGCGGGTTGCCCCGGGGTGGGCGCTCGGCCCGCGCGGGTTATTTTTGGCGCCCGCAGAGGCGAGTGTGTCGGGGCGTGTTTTCCTTCCCCAGGTGCCGCGAGTCGGGGCTCCGCCGGCGCCCAAGCTGACTTGTCTCTCCTTTCCCCTGCAGGAATCTTCCGATAATTCTGCTGCCGCGACTTTAACCGTGCGCAAGGAGAGAGCTCGAAACAAACATCACATCTAAATTAAAAAAAAAAAAAAAAAAAAAAAGCGGAAGAAGCGGCCGAGGCGGCGGCGGCGGGAGGAGGAGAGGAGGAGGGGCCGCGCGCGGCGGCCCTAGGCGGCGGCGGGGACGCGGGGACGCGGGGACGCGGCTTTGTGCAGGCGGGTCGCGGGGCGCCCATGGCGGAGTGCGGCCGGGGGGGCGCCGCCGGCGGGGCCCTGCCCACCTCCCCGGGCCCGGCCCTCGGCGCCAAGGGCGCCCTGAAAGCCGGAGTCGGGGAAGGCGGTGGCGGGGGAGGTCGCCTCGGCCACGGGCGAGCGCGCTATGACAGCGGCGGGGTTTCCAACGGAGACTGCAGCCTCGGCGTGTCCGGGGACGAAGCCCGGGCCAGCCCCGCCAGGGGACCCCGCGGCGTGGCGCTCGCCCCTACCCCCAGCCCGGCCGTCTGTCCCCTCCCCCGGGAAAGCAAGCCGGGCGGCCTGCCCCGCCGGAGCAGCATCATCAAGGTAGGTGGAAGAAGGGTGCTCTTCGCCCACCCTCAGCCGTCCTCGGGGTCTGTTTTCCTCCTGGGGGAGTGGTGGTGGAAGGAGGAAGCCCACTGCTAACAGGAACCACTGGAACAAGGGTACTTGGGGTGGTTGAGCGGGGATTGGATGCAAATGGCATGTGGAAAGAATGGAGAGGTGATCCCTAATGTGCAGGAGGAGCTGTGCTCAGACATCCCCAGTTGAACTTGGGGCTGTCACCTCTTCAGGATGGGTCTGGCATTAGGGCCTTGTACCTGCCTGGGTAGGGCATGCTTTTATGTGTAGCCTAGTTTGGTTAACACTCCCTGTAAGATTTCTATTGTATTTTAAATGCAGATAGGGATTATGTGAAATGTAAGAACATTTTCTTAAAAATCCCAGGCGGCGAACAGAGGGTGAACAGAGATTATTTAATAGGTTTCTTCTGATCTGTGCATAGTTACTTGCCTTTTGCAAATGGTTACACTTCGAGGGTGCAAAATCTCCCAATCTCCGGCCACTCAGTCACAAAGAGAAATAGAGTGGATTTCTGAACATAAATGCAGATTTCCGTTTTCTTAGGCTCAAAAGCTCTGAGAGATTACATTACAGTTCCACACGATTGAATCTTTTTCCTTACTGCAGTAGGCAGGCCTCGAGTTCTGTGAAAGTTCTTTGGGGCAGTTTGCTTGGTTTTGTACAGTGTTAGCGGAAGAAAGCCAGTGATTGTTTTGAGCATTTTAAACTCAAGAAGTAGTATTAGGAACTCCCGAGTTTGTGTTGGTTTCATTCTAATGTTACATTTTGTTCTGCAATGTAAAAATATTTCTCGTGACATGAAGTGAAAAAAAAAAATGGATGAGCTAAGAAGAGCAGAGCCTTAGGCAAGACCAGCTCATTTGGCTTGCTCAAGTTTGGAGCAAATGAAAACATTGCTTTCTGAAAATCAAGGAGTTATTAGGACAGGGAGCAGTAAAACATATTGACAGACTGCACCCACCCTTCCTGTGGCTGACAACTGGTGGGAGAGAGGGCAGAACGTGCCACAGCAAAGAGAGTTGGCGGTGGTAGTATCTGAAATTTTATTGGACCTACAGAAATCTTCCAAGTACTGTGAAAATGTCCGATGGTGTTATCAACTTCTGCAGTAATCTAGTGAAATATACCATCTTGCTACTACTGTATGTAAGAGGCAATTGTGAAACTACATTTCGCTTTGTCATCTGTTTGCACAGTTTATGTCTGGGCAAGGACACAATTTGAAGGGCTTAGAGATCAAGTGTATTAACTACCTGCAGCACACACTTAGAGATAAACTAAGGAAAGGAAAGGAAAGTGTCTTTTTGCTGCACACATAGCTTTTAGTGACGTATGTTTTCTTTTACTCTGTAGCTTATGTTTCCATGGAAGTTGCTTTCAACTGTGCATGTCAATCCTATTGACAGAGTTATGTGACATTTCTGTTATGTCATTAAATATTTGTGGTGATTTTGCATTGTAATGTTAATGAAATTTGAGGTGAAAATTCCAGAGAAGATACTAGCCTATCTAATTTTAACCCCTTTCTTTTAGTTGTTTTGAGAACTTGTTTTTGCATTAAAAAAAATCATACTTTAGTCTCCATAGTGGAATTCATAGTGTAACTTACTGAATTACAAAAACATTTGTTTTAATTTTACATTAATGGGTGATAAGAAGGATGGTTTGTTAGTATTTTTGATATATGGAATCGAGAACTTGTCAGTAGATACCATTTCTTCTTTGAAGGCTCTATAATCTAGCACATAGGAAAAATGATTAGTTGTTCAAAAATCACTGGTTTTAGAAATGATATTGACACTTACGTTGGATTCTGAAACATTCAAGGACTTTTTTTTTCATTTTTCTTCTTTGTAAACGCATTTGGCTTTTGTTCTCCAATGTACCCCTAGATACAAAGTGCCAGGAACATAGTAGCAGCTCAGTAAATTGCTTATTGAATGAATGGAGAAAGCACATGTTTTCTCTGAGTTCTGTTAATTTATAAAGCAGATGGTTTCGGATTTACCAGTCTCAGATTTTGTTCACTGTATTGTACCTCCAAAGAAAGCTTGATACACTCCTTTTTCTTGCCTCTATTTTCACTATGCATTTTCTTAAACTTTTGAAAATTATGGAAGTAGTGTTGAAAGTTGATCAAGACTGGGTTATAGGAAAAAGATGATGCTGTATTTAAATATACTTGGTATATTTCCCCTTGAATGGTGCCTTGAAGCATCAAGATTTTGGGTATGTATTGTGGTATTTTTTAAAGAGAACTTCCAGTATCGGGACAATATCCTAATAGAAAACAAGGTCTTTAACATCAAATTTCATAAAACAATGAATACAGCACAGATAATTTTGTCATGTGAATGGCAGAAATTATAGTTCACTTTTTATTCTCTTTTTTTAAAAAACAAAAGCTAAAGCAGAAGCCCATGTGAAAAAGCAATAGTGGCATCTTCATTTGGTTTCCTTATTTTTTTTTTAACATAAGGGATGAATGCAGTCAGGTGGTCTCTGAGTAGAGGCAGGAGTAGATTAGTAAGCAAGGTGATAATTGGGAACTTAAGGGAATAGCAGGGAGTAAATGCTACCTAGGGAACGGAGGCCAGTATTTATGGGTTTGTATTTGTTGCGTTGAAATGTTGGGCGTTTGAACTGTGCTTCTCTCCTAGCTTCCGTCTTCATTACAGTCTTGACAGCCCTCTTTGATGGAGATCCTTAAATCAGAGGGAGAAATAATGGCCTAAATGTGATATAAGTGGGGCAAAGAAAGGGGACTATTGCTAAAGTGCGGGGCATATGCAGAAATACACTGTAGGCTGACCTGAATCTTATTCCTCATTTAAAATAATTTATTTGGTACTCCGTTTTGTAAATGTGGTGTTGAGTAAGAAATTGTTGTAAAACAGTATTTTCTGCCAAAATAGGTGCACAGATCTATACTAAAAGAGCTCCTTGGTTATGGTAACAGTGTTGATGAAAATTCAGAGTGAGCAGCCTTGTAGAACCTTTCACAAATACCTTGAGATGTTAATCAAATCGTGGAAACCATCACCAGACATTTCTACTTTTCCTTAGCTTACTGAAAATAATGATAGACTTTTGAGATTATTTACAAAGGCCCATTATGGGTTTTAGAGAAGAAGCCATTATGTTTGTCATCTTAAGTAATCTAGTAAACGAAAACATCACTTTCATTTTCTCTTTCCATAATTCATCACTCTATTCAATATAATCTATGCTTTATTTTGAAACAGTTAATTTGGTTAATTGTTCAGATGGCATCCATTATTTGCAAATAGCTCAATCCTTGAATTCAAGAGCTTGGTCTAAAAATATGAAGTAGCATTTTAGGCCTTAGATTTCTGTTTAAGTTTAGAAATAAATGAAGTTAAAATGTCTGTTACTGTGGATGATTTATTTTAATCAGATCTAGTTAAATACTTTGGTTGATACTTTAAAAAATGAGGTATGATTTGCAGACAGTAAAATTCACAGAACTGGTTTGTGTCCAGTTCTGTGAACTCTGACCAATACATTCAGTCATATAATCACCACCATCATGAAGATATAGGACACTTCCATCACCTTCAAAAACTCCCTCAGGTCTCTTTGTTGTCTTCCCCTACCCTCATCCCCAGACAGTGGCAACCATTGATCTTTGGTTCTTTTTTAATCAGTAGGAAATTCAGCCATTGCATTATTTTGGTATTTAGAAGCAATAACAGTAGCCAACATTTATTAAACACTCACTGCGTGCAAAACATGTGAAAAGTGCTTACCGTAATTCTCTGACTTGGTCCTGTGCTAACCACAGAGACAGAAGGAAATCAGAGTTCAGAGAGGTTAACCCCGTGCCTCAGGTGCTGGAGTGGCTTGTTGTATCCCGCTTGGGTATGGCTGGACTCCATTGCTTTTCCACATTACAATGGCAGTTTGAATTTTCTCTGTAGTTAAAGTAGCATCAGTGAGACACCGATTTGATTGTCCTCTTTAAATGGAAGAGATATTGGAAGAAGGAAAGGAATCTTTCTGCTGGTGGAAGAAGTTGGCAGATAATATAGCCAGGCAGCTGATTAGTCACCTGTTGTGACTTGATCAGGGCTTGCAGCTTCACAGTGACCAATGGTCTGACCTTGCCCAAGGTGACAGCCCTAATTTTTCTTAATATAATTATTGCTCTTGTCATAGTATCAGGTTGTGTAAGAGAAACACTTTTACTATCTTTATACTAATGTGTTTACCTATATCTTGACACTGAGCTCTCCAACATGGACAACAAGCAGCCTTTTCACGTCTATTATACACATTTAAATGAAATAAAACTTTTATATGTGTCTTGGCCCATGGTTTAAATAAACTAGGCTCCTTGCAGGCAAAAGTTGGGCTGTATTTACCAGTTCTGCACAGATAACGAACACTCAATAACCATTTCTTAATTGGACCTTAAAAATAATATCTGCATTTAACTTTAGACATTTTGTTTTTAATGGGAGGAAACAAAAGTACTGCATGCCCAGCAAACCTGTGGGCACATCATAAATAATTAAACAGACAGTAGCTGGATAACTAAGTGAATTTGTCTGGATAGATAGGGAGCCTGGATCATTTAGGTCAGAAAAATCGAATGGCCAATCAGCAACTCCCA